ATTTGAATAATTCTTTTTTTTATTTTGTTGGGGGTGTCTGAAAAATCGAAAAGTTCAGAACTGTTTATTTTGTACCTATGTATATATAATATATAGTCTATTTCGTACTAACCGTTAAAACATACCTAGTGATGAACCCGAGCGAAGCGAGGATGAGTCGCTAGTAATATTATATAAAAATAGATGTACATATGTATGTGTCCTGCCTATGGATTTGGAGTTTCAACGCAGGCGAAGCCGCGGGCATTGCTGGATATATTATGTATCTACGTGTGTAAATAAATAAACTACACGACCGAAGTTATGGTCAAAAACTAGTTACGAACATTTATAATAATTTTTATTGCAATTTATTGGGGTTATAACACGTTTTGATCAATATGGGAAGTGGATCGTATAACCTCATCTGTCTCATAAGTATACATAGGCTCCAATTCCGCCTTACAGCGGTCAGCTATGTGCATTGTGAAACAGGTCGGAGTTTCGTAAATTATTCAAATGTAGGTAGTACTAGCAGTCTCTAGCTAATACAGTGACCCGATTTAAATAAGTGCCAGCCTAGCTTGCCTTAAAGAGGTTTCCGAGTAATACAGGACTTTAAAGGAGTTAAAAAACTTAGGGTACAATTAAACTTCACGCGACTGGTGCCCTATATAATGTAATAATAACATGTAATGTGTCAAGTATTTTTATTCTTTTTTTTTATGTTTTTTTTTTATTTAATGTCACATGATGCAATTGATATATTTCTTCTGGTTTGTTTATATCAAAGTCAAGATGACTTTGAATTTTCTTTGAAGTTAAAAAGTTATATCCATTATAAGATCACCTTAAAATCAATTATTCAAATTTATGTAGGATAGTCCTTTAGATATCAAATGTACAATTGGCTATCATACGCGTAACATATAAACAAAACATACTCAAATAGAGAATTTCCTTTTTTATTGAAATTTATAATATGTATATATATATATATATATATATACAATGTGATTAATATATATGAATAATAGACAATGTGGCTAAATACTTAAATTATTATTATTTTTATTGAGCTATAAATATTGTAAAATATCTTGTATACTAACTGGTATAGAGTAGTGTGCTCTTTGTTTTAATATACTCGTCCTGAAAATACCGGTAGAAGAATATGAAAAATTATTACTCTAGATGAAGACGAATATACATCATTCATGACATAATTGATTATGAGAAATAATTTAGTTACTTCTTCTTGAATGTTTTTTTTTTCTCTTTAAACAATATTTTGAGAGGAAGTTAAACTACATTTACATAGTGAAAGTTAATAGTATTACTTTGGCCCGCACCGGCTGACCCATTTCTCGTATATTAGGTCACTACAGAAGCTGTTTGGATTTTTTAACGACCAGACTCCTCTTTCGGGATTCAGCGAGAGAGTAAACAGTAAACAACTCTACAAGGTGTTATAAGATTAGCTGTTTTTATGACCTACTGGCGACCCGAGCTCGTCATCAAAAGCCCAGCCCGTAACGGAATGTCCGCCCGACGTAAAGTTAAATTGTTACTGCTTCTACCTTCACTCAAGTTGACATCTACAATGAACTTATCCTAACCAAAATATACTTGCAACACTTCATAATGGGTTGCATATTCTAAGCAAAATGATGGTACATCGTCATATAATTAAATATTTTGAATAAAGATGTACATGACCAGCGGTTAAATTCAACGCATAATAAATATAAAGTCAAAGAGAAATAACTAATAAAGAAATGTCTAAATCCTATAAGTACTATTAAACGAGCGAATATTTGTGTATACTCGTATATTTGTAATCACGTTCTCGAAAACGGCTCTAACGATTTTGATGATATTTTAAATATAGAGGTGGGGCTTACGGGGGCGAAAAATCGCTCTGGCTAGATCTCATATCTGGGAAAATTCGTTTATTCTGGTTTTCACGCAAAAAGATTTGCCCCCGCAATATGGTTCGTAATTTCCTAATAACCTAATGATATGGCGTTAGCTTACTACGCCGCAGGTCAGAAGTTTCTGTTTATATTGTTTACATATAATTTTTTTTTGTTTTCAATTTGTTTATGTTTGTCCCACACGACCCTAAGCTGGGTAGAAATAAATTATTATAAATATAGAATAATAAAATATTTTGCTTGCGAAGTTACGTAAATTTTTACTAAATTATTAAAGATCTTCGTTATCAAAAATACTACATTCAATTTTTGTGTATATTAAGCAGTAAGTGTAACTTTAAATAAATAATAGTACCAAAGAAATAGATATAAAAATGCTAAAACCGGTATTTATTTAATTATATTAAAGAGCATTAATACTAAGTTTCAAGTAATTCTGACCACAAATATTTTTTTGGGTTGTCTCATAACGTGTTTTTCCATGGGAATGAGATAATATCTCTCGGCAAAAAGTAGCCTATGTCACTCTCCAGTCTTCCAACTATCTCCACACAAAAAACCACGCCAATATGTCATTCCGTTTCGACGTGAAAAAAGGACAAACAAACAAACACACTTTCACATTTATAATATTAGTATGGAAATATGAATTAGCGAGTCTCAATGAAAGCAATAATTGCTCTATTTCACGCATAACTTATATAAATAAACTTACAATTTATTTGAAAAAATCCTCCTTCCTATACTTTATCAAAATGGCAGCCTAGCTGAATTCTATATATAAACAGGCAAAAACGAGACAGTGCAGTAAGTTTGTCTTGTCTTTTGACGAGTTTTAGGATTTAAAAAAAAATGATTATGGTAGAATTTAGAACACTGGGCTAACGTTGATACTATTGAAGTTCACAATCCTAGGAACTTATACAAGATATCTTTCTACAGTCATTGAAGAAAAGAAAAAATATAGTAATATCGTATAATTGTGTAACATAAGAATTACCCGCACAGCTTTACGCTATGTCCCTTGAGAGGAAGGCGGAATTGACTAAAAATGTTGGGATAGGGAAGTACATATCCATTATAAGGTATTATAATATAAATACTGCCCCGCTGTTTTACAAACTATGCTGCTTGCCGTAGGTTTTTTCATTAATTTAGTATTTTCCTTTCGTTTGTGCCAAAACTTTGTACGAGTTATCTTTTACCCTCCGAAAGCCACTTCTGTTTTTGACCGTCCCTCGAATGTAAATTATGTACCAGAGTAACAAACAAGATAGAAATTATTATGAACACTTTGATAACAAGAGCTCATCTTGTTTAAATATTTTTATAGCGTCTACTTATTACCTAGCATGAAGTAAGCCGATGAGGAAAATATATCTTATATTATTTCTAAATATATTATAATTAATCATTATGAGAATCACATTTATTTCCCATATGTAAGTAAATATTAAAGCTACAAACAACCCGTACATGTTCTTTTTAATAAAATTATATAAACAAGGTTTCCTATATATTATAATGTATACCGTGCTCATTTTGTTTTTACTAAATTATTTCAACAATCTCTATAGTTAAGTATTATATGCTTTTTTCAATTATTTCAAAACTTAATGATAATATTACATCGTAATAAGCAACATAGATGGAACTACTGGACTGCGCTCGAAATAGTGTGGTTCAATAAAAGATCTATTTAAAATCAGTTCTCAAAAATAAAAAAACTACTGCGTATTATATACATGAAAACATAAGAATCAAAATCATTTTCGATTTTGTTTAACTATTCAATATTTATTTTCGTCAACAGTGTACTAATCTATAACAAAACAAAATCTACCCTAATTCAAGTTTAATTTCTATTATCAAAATCGCTAACAGAAAACGAAATAATATTAATATGTAGAAATATCAATTTGTAAGAGAAATGGATAACGTGAAAATATTACTCGTACCTACTCAAGTAACCACCCTTGTGTACCTATTATCGTGGCAACCTGTTGAGCGATGTGAAGTTGATATTGAGGCAAGTTACATCAAAAATGATACAAATATAAAATCATAGACGTGTATAAAACACTTCTATTCATATATTAAAACTATAACTAAGCCGAATCTACATTCAATATTTTTATGAAATTGTTATTGAAATCTTATATCTTATTTGTTATTCTTGTATATATGTATATTTTCGATTTTCGTGAAATTTTGTGCACGTTTCGTTAGTTAGTTCGTTAGTGTTTCGGGGGCGATAAATCGATCTAAATTAGTCTTATGTCTGGGAAAACGCGTGTTTTCGAATTTACATACGGTTTTCTTTTGCATTATTCCACGCAAAATATGGTCGATAATTTCGCACGCTCGGGCATAAGCATCATGGTCAAGCGGCCAAGGTGAATCAACCTAGGGACGAAACCGAGCAAAGCGAGGATGAGTCGCTAGTACATAATATTAATATGTGTCAAAATTTCAAATTTCTTACGACTTAACAAATAAACATTTGAACATGAAGTGGGTATAAAAATTTATTATTGACCTATTTAAACTATAAGCAATGATATGTCGTGGTATTTTCGTAACCTCTATGAACCAAATTTTCGTTTTCTTTTCTATAACTAACTCTTTATGTTTCCGGAATATAAGATCAAGTATTGCTTCGAGCAACAATTATTCCATTTACACCAAAATTTACAGAATAATTTCACCATCGTAATATCACCTTACATTTTCAAGGGTAATTCAACAAGTCATATCGAATTAACCACCCAAACCTAAAGTAATTTGGCGCGAAATAATTATAATTCGGTAAAAACGAAAGTTAAAATTTTGTAAACAAAATAAAAACGCCGCCTTTTGAAATATCAATTACTTTTTAAATTAAAGTTAAATATAAGTAGGTAAAGTATTTCACCCATAGTGGTACTTTCGCTTGAAATTTAAGTTTTATTAATTGAAATTTTAAAGTAATTTATTATATTCAATTTATTATTGAGGATAGATAAGGATAAAGGTAGAATATAGTTAATACTAGAATAAGACTTATAAAAAAAACTCGTTTTTAATAAAACAATTTGTCCCCAGGTTTTTGTAGACATGGACATATTTTACACACCGCCGCACATCGAGCTAGCACCTTCGAATGTGGAATGCTACCGTATGACGGAACTATCTTCACCCAAAGCAAAAGAAACCCAGCCATCTGTCCACGGATATCATCAGACGTCTAGACAAGAGTCTATTAAAGGCTCTCTTCCCTCGGTCCACGCTACATCTTCTCAGAGCTCGGCTCACAACTCAGACGTAGACGAAGATCGTGCATTAGAAGACCTGCAAAGAAATATAGACACTCTCGAACGATCCTTGCAAAACAAAGAAACTGTTATTGATATAGAGTCCGGCGATGAGTCGCGGGCTCGTAAACTGAAAATTGCTGGAAAACGAATCTTACGGTAAAAATATTCATATTAAAAATTATTTGTTATTTATAATTAATTATCTTACGGAAATTGCCCAAATATACAATTTTGTTTAAAGAAGTAAAATATAATATTTTGAATGTTAATTAAATTATTTTTATATATAATAAAAATATTTTTTTAGGCGTGGTTTCTCAATGGGAACGGAGAAATCAGTGACTATAGCCGAAGGAGAACGTAAACGCGTTTCTACCTTCAAGAGCATGCGCAGTTTCATGCGCTTAGGAAAATCACGATATCGAGACAGTAGTGGAGATGAGGAACAAGGGCTACTGGACATGCCTGGACCATCATCAGAACCTGATAGACCCATCAGCCAAACTTCTGTTTCGTCTGATGAAATTCTAGTAGACACTCGTTCTCCTCAGGAAACACCGAGGATGAAGAAAATGTGAGCATTTAATTCATTTATTCCTCAGGACCTGGGCGACCTAGCTTTGCTCGTCGTTTTTCGGATAAGATATAATAGCGAAGAAATAAAAATTGCGTTTTTTCACAAAAGACATATATACCTATAGATAAACTTAGAAAACAAAATTTTATCCAAATTGTTTGGAGCCGTTTTCGAGATACACGAAATAAATATATACAAGAATTGCTTATTTAATATTTTAAGAGTACCCAGGAGATTACATTTTTAACACTCACAGATGTTGAAGAATTAATCCCAGGCACATACAGAGCTAAGACAGTTTGTTAGGACTGATAATAATTTAATATTCATTTGCAGAAAAACATTAGTGGACTCTGGGGGGCCGTCAGCTTTAAAGGCTGCCGACTTCCAGGTCTGCGTGACAGTTATCGAGGCCAGACAACTTGCTGGCCTTAACATGGACCCGGTGGTCTGCGTACAAATTGGAGACGTGCGAAAGTACACAAGCGTTAAAGAAAGCACAAATTGCCCATATTACAACGAAGTGAGTATTGAAATATTTTTTTCTTACTTTGAAGAGTTAGTATATATACACTTATTTTTTCATGTAATTTTTAATTTTTTCTTACAAATGTTTATATAAATATAACCTTTGATAACAATACAAGGATATTATCTACTGTTATCTAATTTGAGTACATTACTAGGGAGTAGCCAGAAAAAAAACTTCTATGCATGAAAATTGCCCATTTTTCTATAAAAAACATTTCAAACCAAAAACGGACAGACTAACAAATATTATTACATTCATAATATTAGTATGTATAATGTACGCTTATTCGCACTTGGCCAATATTTATTATGATATGTTGTTACTCAAAAAAGAAACTTAAACCTTAAACTTATTTTACAATAAATTCTGTAAAGAGTAATTATATACCTATAATTGTCCTTTCAACCAATTTCTTATTAAACAGCTTAAATATGATTCCTAAGCTCGGATATATTCGGAAGCTCAATAATCTTGTTTTGATTCCGATAATATTTAAATGAACATTATTTTAGCAATCATTCTTTAATACTGAGATATATATTAATTAATACATAGATATTAGTATTTTTAACACGCTTTTTTAAGCTTCACCTGTATCTATCTACGTAACAGAATATTTGAACGCGATTTTCACCCACTTCAAAACTTCAGATTGAACTGAAACTTTGCACTTTCAACAATATATTCTGATCAAGTTAAAAATGGAAAATTAATTATAGTTTAAAAAAAAACTTTTATGATGAACCCAAAGTAAAAAGTTAAAAATATTTTTTTGTATTAGAATAAGTATATTAGCGAGAAAATTATTATTATTATGAAGAAAGCGTGGGGTGCGCGATATCAGTTGTTATAAATATTCCATTGGTACGATGAAATTAATGTTATTGTGAAAAAAGCGTGGGTTGCTTTGTACAGTATTTTATACTAACTCTACTTTCAGATATTGCAATGTCTAAATGTAGAGCTAGTTTAAAAATATAGTAAAGCACCCCACGTTTTTTTCATTATAACATAAATTTTCCTGTTAATTACTTTATTCTTATACTAAAAGATACTGTTTTCTTTTAGTTGGTGCATTATTATTTAAGCCTGTTTATTAGTTTCTTAAACTATAATCCATAATAATATAAATGTGAAAGTGTGTTTGTTTGTTTGTCCTTTTTTTACGTTGAAACGGAATGACATATTGGCATGGTTCTTTGTGTGGAGATAGTTAGAAGGCTGAAGAGTGACATAAGCTACTTTTTACATTGAGAGAAAACACGTTATACCTAATACAAACCAAAAAATATTTATGATCAGAATTACTTGATACTTAATATTAATGCTCTTCAATACAACTAAATAAATATGTATTTTAGCACTTTTCGAAATTCATCCCATAAGGGGGTAAAATAGGTCAGAAAAGTTTGTATGAAACCTACCTGTTTAGAGTTCTTTTTGTAGTTTTAGCGCGAGCGAAGCCGCGGGTCCTATTAGTTTATTATAAATATAATATAATAAATGCAATTGTCAGAATTGAAAGTTAAAACCGTTTTGAAGAGACATTAGTTTGCTTGAACCAATAATCGTAATAGAGCGTTATGAATAACTTGTGTAGAGCATGTTATTCATTCGCCATTGTATTCTGTACTGTTGGCTATACAAAAGAAGTGTAGTAATTCGATGAAATGCGAATTTATTATGCTTATAATACAAATACTTTTTTAAAGGCGAGTAACTAGAATTAATATTATGTTAACTTCTTGGAATATTAAGTTAGTGTATACATACACTGTATACATATATACTCGTAAGGTGCGGCCATTATAATAATTATATTAGTACACAACTCTAGTACGCCGAATTTTTTTAAACCCTGACACCTCTAGTGATCATAATTAGGGTCAAAGGAACCTACAGTACCTATAAATTAAAAAAGCTTTTTTTAAACAACCTAGAACTTTAAACTTTTATCCTTAAAACTATAAAACTTATTGAAAAGATCTATGTTTCTAAGTTATCTTAAAGTTTCCCAGTACTACTATTTCCCATCATAATATAAAGTTCATCTATAAATTGTTAGAACGGAATCGATACCACAATGTCTGTATACGAAATGTTTCAATTTATCACTTTACTTGCTTTACTCGGTAGCTTTTTATAACAGACCTCCGTGTCCACTTAGTATGAATGTAAGTGGGACAAGAAGTATAAAACCGTATTTAATATTATAAAATGTGATAGAGTTTTATAAAAACTTATGTGCATATAATACTAGCGACTCGCCCTCGCTTCGCTCAGGTTCCTCCCTAGATACGTTTTAACAGTTACAGTAGTGTATATATGATGAGTTGTATTATCAAGTGTTTTTCCGTAGAAATAAGATAATCTCCCATGGTAAAAAGTAGCCTATGTCACTCTCTAGTCCATCAACTCTTTCTACACAATCATGCGAATCCTTCACACTGTTTCGACCTGAAATAGGGACAAACAAACGAACACATTTCACTTTTATAATATTAAGTATGGATATTCTATATATTCCGTACTAAGCGTTAAAACCGCACTCTACCTCGCTAGTAATCTACATATATTCAAAAATCACGTCAATCTCTTACATTTCTAGAAAAACTTAATATTAATTAGTATTATTATTTCCCACTGATTATTCTGCTTTTCTTATGAAATGGTAGTAAAATAAAAAAATATACCACTGCACAATTTAATTGGTTTTCAATTAACGACATTAATAAAGTTATTGTGATAAACATATATGTATATAATGCTGTTTTTGTCCGCAGTACTTCGTATTCGACTTCCACATGCCACCGATAATGCTATTCGACAAGATCATCACATTATCGGTAAGTACTTGATGTGCTTTCAATGCCTCTTCACCAAACTTTAATCCCGATAAAAACATTGTAAGTTTCTGTTTATGGGATTGAATAATTTCTTTCATAAGTAACTTTCAAATATTTCTAGGAGTAAAATAAAATTATCATAGTGAAAAAAAAAATTATTGACTTATACAATATGCGTTACAAATAGCAAGGGCCAATGTACTAGGTGTGAACCCGTGTTACTGGGTACGTCAAAGTAATCGTTCAGTTAGAACAAGGCTTATGCTATAATGTACTATTTATTAGTTAAAATTAATTAACAAGCAGTTGTTATATGAAATTAAATACTTAAATAATTATTTAAATATTCGACTAATTTCATTATATCTAAATGCAATGCGAAGTTCCTGCTCAGCTCTGCTAAGCGTACATAATAAATGGTACCATTTATATGCAATATTAAGATGAATGTCATATGTGTATTTTATACATATAATATTTATTATTGCACTTACCTTAAATCTCAAGCTAGCGAATTTTTCCTTATATATTTAATGAGCTCATTTTTATATTCATAACTAGCGTTTTTCTGTGATGCGGTAACAGACAGACAGACAGACAATTTTTTTAAAATTATAGATTCGGTCTCTGTATCAATGCAGGGATCGAGGACAGGACATAAAGGGCAATAATGTCTATTTCAATAACATTTTCCAAAAAATATTTAATGTACAGGTTCGGCTCAGTTAGAATTTTATTCTATGTATAGACAAGCGACATAAATACTTTCGTTTTAGAAAAATGATTAAAAATGTGCGAATACTGTATTCAGTATATAATTATGTACATTATATATCTTAGAGGGACAGGTTACAATTAAAACGAGATAAAAACAGAAAGCTAAAATATTAAAACTACACACAAACTTAAATGCAAACCGTATTTTTAAGTCGTAGGTTTCTTAGAAAACATTTTCTTTTGGTTCCTATTCATAAGCAAGCTTTGATGTCTCATACTGAAAATGTATTATAACTTACAATGTACTTATATACTTACGTGAATATATAAGGAAAATTTAATAAATATATTTCTTGTGACTATATTGTACTTGTACACCAGCCAAGCCGATTATAGCTTTCTCACGATGAATTGATGATTTATAAGTACTTATAAAATTGTTTTTAAATAGAGTATAATATATATAAATAATAATCAAAATATGTTTAGAATTGATTTGTGCTTTTTATATTAAACTAGCGACTCACCCTCACTTCGCTCGGGTTCGTCCCTAGCTTGATTCCGCACACAAACTTTCATCCCCATTTTCAACACCCTAAGGGATGATTTCCGGGATAAAACTCCCTATGTCCTTCCCAGGGTCTCAAATTATCTTCTTACCAAACATCTAAATCAGTTCAGTAGATCTTTATAATATAAGTATAGATTAGGCTTCTTAGCTAGATAGTACCTGGACGGCCGCGCTTCGCTCGGCGATTTTTTTTAACCCACTTCCAAAAAGGAAAAGGTTCTATGTTCGTCTGTATCTATATTTTTGTTTTTTTTTTTAGTATGTTCATCGATATTTTCGCCAATTGTGAAGCGATTTAAAAAATCTTTTTTAGTTCGAAAGGATATAATACTCTCGAGGTAGTCCTATTATCATCAAGTCAGGATCTGGAAAAAGGAATCTCAAGGAAATTGAGGAAAAACTAACTAACAATGTAATAAAATCTTAGAAGTCAATTTTGACCTACTGTCCGGTTTCCGATTGATATGAAATTTTGCATACTTATGTAAGTTTGCATGCATTCATATTAAAATACTTTCGTACTTTGCTACTACTATGTCTACACTAAAAGAAGCAAAGAGCATATACAGCGCACTATTTAAGTCACTTGTATAATATCTTTATATATATAATTCTTCTGTGAGTGTGTATGTCACTGAACTTCTCTCAAACGACTGGACCGATTTTGATGAAATTTTTTGTGTGTGTTCAAGGGGATCTGGGAATGGTTTAGATTCACAATTTGAATAATAATTTTCAACAAAAAAATTATTAAAAAAAGTTTGAAATTTTCAAATTAAAGATGTGTAGACAGGACAACGTCTGTCGGGTCCGCTAGTATAGTTGTAAGAGAGTGGTCGTTACGGAAAGATTACTCTCATTAGGCAAAGATCTGCCATGTTTGTCGACGCCCAATTAGTCGGTGCAATCAACGAATACAAAAAAAAACCTACAACAATACACTGTTCTCTTAACTTGTCAAAAGTTGTACGAGATTCGAAAATATTATTTAGTCGAATATTTTTTGACATTTGGACAGGAAAGGTTTTTCTAACTGTAGGGTTGTTGTGTTGTAGCCTAGAGTCTAATAATCGTCATTAGTGATTTACTCTCTCTGCGCTTGGGTGCATCTTTGGCTGCTTAATGCCTATGTGTTCCTCCAGATAGCTTATTTGGGGAGACCGAATGTGTGTTCAGCTTGTCATGGCACGGTGGCTCATTAGCTTTCAGCAATCCAACCAAGCGTGAAGCCAAGGGGCTGCCAATGCGAGGCGGCCCACCTCGGTTGGCTGTGTACGATGCGAATTATTCCTGGTACTTTTCTGATAGAGTGGACCATGGGAGCAACCCCTAGGTCGATGTAGTCTGCTTCGGTAGATCAGCTATTGGGGCATTGTGGTTGAGTGTGTGAGCGATCCTGTGATGCCCTATTAAGACGAAAACGGTTCCGTTGTGTTTTAGTGAACAATAATAGCTTTTCTAGCCGTTTAGTTCCATATAAAACCTGCAAATGTATTTCAACAACAAAACAATTTATCCTCTATTTCTTATATCTTACTATCTATACTTCTTACTAAATGCCATCCAATGTCCGTTTCAGCGTGAATAAGTAATATACACATACAAACTTTCGCAGTGCTATGCAAAATAATAATTAAGATTGATTAGTATGTATGTATACAGCAGGTGAGTTACAGTGTACGTTACATACGTCATTAATCATTATACACCAGTTTTTTTTATATACGCAATGTATAAAAAACTTTGATATAATATTACTTCAACTATTCCATTCAATTAATTTTAGTTATATTTCATATTTCCAAGCTGTTATAGGTAAATAATGATTGAAAATTTCAAATTTAATGAACGTTGTACATCTTCCTCGTGTTGTGTTTAAAATAACATCTATTGTTAGCGTAACGTCTATTGTTAAGTTTGGGATAAACATATAATAACAATCCAAATAGTTACTGAATATTTTAACTTTAGTACCGAGATAGTTTTCGACTGGAGGCATAAGTAACTCAATACTAGTGGCCCGATGATATGAGCGAAGCGAGAGCTAGTCCCTAGTTTACATAATAAAAGTAAATTGTCAAGGAAATAACATTGCGTCAAGCACATACCATTTTTATCATTATTTTTGATGCATATGAATATAGTTCTAACACTCAAAATTGGTAGAAGCAGAGAATACTATACTAGGTGGAAGTAACGTGTTGAGTTTAGGAGGTTTATTTTTTTAATCGTTCTACAGGTGCTTTTTTCATTTGCTGATTTTTTTGCTAATAGTTTTTTAGTAAAAAGCTTTTCACCCCAACAAAAATTGTATGAAATAAATTGATGGAATCATGTCGAATTAATATAAAGTGATTTTATAGTCGGTCTACCATTTAATTGTATTTATTACATTTTTGTATTAGTTAGACAATTTATTTATTTAGTGGTAATCACACGGCGGTCGAAATTTTACAATAATCTAATAATTTTACCATAACAAATTTGATTTCGTATACGGCCTCTTAAATATTAAATTTATAGTTACAGTAATTTTTTTTTCTTTCTTTCTTTTTTTAGTAGCTATCGAGCTTTAGTGTTGTCAACAGAAACATTTTGCGGGCATATAGTTTTTTTATATAGGTAGGTAAAATTTATTTATATACATATGTTTTCCTCAATTTTACCAGTATATGTAATTTAATCCGGCACGTGTAGGCGAAGTTACTACTTCTATATGTCGCAGTACCGAGCCTCTATTTTGTGAAACGCTCACGTTGATTAATACTGACGTACTGACAGTAACTCTATTGTATCACTTGAATGTATGAAGCTTCCATGTATTACTCGTATGTTTTAAATATGTTACTACTAGTAAATTACGCTCGCTTCGCTCGTTTCTGTACTTAGCCTTTCTTTTGCTCCAGGTTATGTTGTGTATTAAATTTCTTTAAAATCCGTCCAGCCGTTTCAACACAAAAAAGTAATAAACATACAAAAACAAATACACACATGCAAATAAATTTTCCCAATTATAATAGTGTAATTACTTTTTTGATATATATTTTTTTAAATAGCTTAAAAAAAGTATTATAAAAATCTAGTTGCAACACACTGATCGAACATATTTGACATTTTAAATAAAACTATCTTTTCGGATTATTTCGCGGATTTATTTTGATTATTGCTTGCCCGTATTTTAAGTTTGGTGGTAGTTTTAGGAACCAAAAGTCAAAATAAATCCGCGAAATAATCCGAAAAGATAGTTTTACTTAAAATGTCAAATATTCGCGTAAATCTAAGAACATATTTCATAATTAAGAAAATCCTCACGGAATTATTTAAAATGCAGAAATAGATAAAAGTCTATGTCAATCTTCGGCCCATCTACGTATTTGTTGTGTTGTTTATTTAAACACGGCAAACTCAAAAAATGCCACTTCGACTTGGAAAATGTTTTTTTTGCATTTATCTCTAAAATCGATAGTGTAGAAGTAGAACCTAATACTTTCTTAGATTTACGCGAATATTTGACATTTTAAATATAACTATCTTTTAGGATTTTTTCGCGAATTTATTTTGATTTTTAATTCTCGACGTTTCGAATGCTTTACAGCAATCATGGTCACGAAAATCCGAAACGATAGTTTTATTTGAAATGTCGATAGTGACATATTAAAAAGGACTGGGCTGAGTAATTACGTTGTTACTCGACTGTACTGTACATTTGTGT